ATCACCACCATCACCACCATCACCATCATCACCACCATCACCATCACCATCATCACCACTACGATTATCACAAATGCTTACACTTGCCTGCAGGAAATGCTGACAACTCTTACTCTCAAATTGTCTTGGAAGGGCTCTCTCTCTCTCTCTCTCTCTCTCTCTCTCTCTCTCTCTCCTTCTCCCTCTCCCTCTCTTTCCGTCTCCCCCCACCTCTTTCTCTATATATACACATACGTATGTATGTATGTATGTATCTTTTAAGTATGCATCTCATGTCACCTCTAGCGGTCTGTCACAGCTCTCTGACACCCTCATTCCCAACCAGCCCCTAAATCTCTACTTACCCTCTGTCCCTAGAGTCCTGTGTCATCATCATTCTCTAACCCAGGAGGCGCTGCATGGCCTCTCCCCTGCCACCCCTCCTCCATTAGCATCCATTAGTCAGCGGGCAGCCAGCAAATCTGAGTATCAAGAACTGATAGAGCAACCGGAAGAGATGACGGCAGACGAGTGCCACATGCAACTCTCAGAGTAGTCTAAATCTCACCACACTCATGCTTCAGATAAGGCGCACTGAAGACAGTGACGTATCTTTTTCAGGGGCATACCTGCTTTCCCAAATCCAAAATTTTTACCTGCAAAAGAATTTTTTTTTTTTTTTTTTTTGGTTTTTTGAGACAGGGTTTCTCTGTATAGCCTTGGCTGTCCTGGAACTCACTCGGTAGACCAGGCTGGGCTCAAACTCAGAAATCCGCCTGTCTCTGTCTCCCAAGTGCTGGGATTAAAGGTGTGCACCACCACCGCCCGCCAAGAATTTTTAAAGTTCTTTTGACTTAAATACTAATTCAAATCCCAACATTCTGCAACCTCATTGGATTTTATAACAGGCATTTCAAGGGCCACAAAGCCAAAAGAAAACTATGGGTTTTCTTTTCAAATGTCAGCCTCCTATTTCACCTCATTACATGGCACTACCCATCTATGCACACAAAATCCAAACTCTAACCTGGGTGTGGTGGCACACACCCTTAATTTCAGCACTCAGAAGGCAGAGGCAAGCATATCTCTGTGAGTTCGAGGTCACCCTGTTCTACAGAGAACCCCTATCTCGTAAAACAAAACAAACCCAAGTACTATTCTCTTCCCCACACCCATTTCTAATCCATCACTATAAACGAAGTCCATAATACCCCACTGTACCCACTCCTGCAGCTAAAGCCTCACTGAAGTAGCACGCTCTCTCTTCCCTGAACTACAAGAAGAACAGGCTGCAAGAATACAAGCTCTATCAGGAAGGGATGCGTGTTCACAGCAGAGCCTCAGACATGGCACATACAAAGAAGTATGACACACAAAGAAGCAATACTCACCGTTGGGGCTAAAGAAATGACCCCTCTATTGACAGCTTTGCCTGCTCTTGTAGAGGACCCAGGTTTGATTCCTAGTACCCACATGATGTTCACAACCCTCTGTAAACCCCCCAGGGGTCCAAGACCCACACAGGAACAGGACCCAGCACCTATGCTTGTAAGGAAATGGGGGGCTGGAGAGAGTTACCCTGGATCCAGCTCCAGGAGAAACAACACCCTCTTCTGCCTTCTGAGGGCACCAGACAGGCATATGGTACACAAACATACATACACATAAAAACAAAATTAAATAGACAGACAGACAGACAGAGATAGAAATAGACAGACAGATACTGACTGGAGCCAGGCATGACAGCACACAAAAGGAGAAGGAGAAGAAGAATCGGGTGTACAAGGCTAATTAGTCTCTACTTCACAGAGTTTGAAGCCAGCCACGATAAATGAGGAAAACAAAACAAACCACCTTGTAATCAGGTATAGCAGGTAGTGCTGACCTTTAACTTTTGCAGTTGGAAGGATGAAGCAGGAGGATTACAAGTTTTGGGCCAGCCTTGCCTACATAGCAAGACCTGGTTTGTTTTTTGTTTTTTGATTTTTGTTTTTTGTTTTTTGTTTTTTTTTTTTTGGTTTTTCGAGACAGGGTTTCTCTGTGTAGCCCTGGCTGTCCTGGAACTCACTCTGTAGACCAGGCTGACCTCGAACTCAGAAGTCCGCCTGCCTCTGCCTCCCAAGTGCTGGGATTAAAGGCGTGCGCCACTATCGCCCGGCAAGACCTGGTTTTTAAGAAACAAACAAAAAGAAGTATTTACTAAATGAACAGCTTATGAATACTTGGACTGTTTCCTTAGGTCGCCTCCCTTCTCCCTGCCAGTGCCCAAAGCAATCTTCCAAGTCCCACTCAGCCCACGGCTCACCCCTGCTCACTATGTTCCTCTCGCTGCCATCAGACTAACGCCCACACTCCAGTGAGGATCTGTTAGATCAGCACTGGAACCCTATATACAGTTCTGCATGTTGTGGTGACCCCCAACCATGAAATTATTTTTATCGCTACTTCATAAATGTAATCTTGCTACTGTTATGAATTGTAAGGTAAACATCTGTTTTCAGGTGGTCCTTGGCAAGCGCTGTGAAAGGGCTGTTCAACCCATCCCCACACCCACCAGGTCCCCACCCAGGGGATGACAACCACTGTTAGATACATGGCAGGAACAGGGCCCGGCACCTGTGCTCGGAAGGCTGCAGAATTGCTAACATCTCTTCAAGTTATGTTTCTGATGCTTTCGTTCAAGGCCCTCCACAAAAGTCATAAGGAACCAAATGAAACTGCAACAATATAGATAGTATAGGTGATCTATTTGCTCACTGTCATCTCCTTTCCAACCTGGAGACCTTCTCCCTGGCCATCCTGGAACCTGCAACATATAAAGAAGCTATCTCAAACTGAGGTCACCTGGTCCCCAGTGACATACGGGAGTTATGCTCAGTCTCCTTGCTTGCTGCAATTATCACAGTCTCTGGCTCCTGTCATGCCCAATGACTCTTGCACTCAGCAAGGGTATGACTCATTGTGTGGGATTACAATCTCCAGTCATATGTGGCCCAGCAAGTTCTCTCCCCTCCTCTCCGGCCTCTGTACTCTTTCCATTAATCTCCATTCTAGAGGCATTTTCTCAGACAAGGTTCTCACCCAACCCTCCCAAGGCTGTTTTATACCCAGCCATGTTACAAGACCACATGCTTACGGGATGTCCTTACACGTATGCACACACAGGTCATTGCCAGCAGAGATGTGGCTTCCTACGATAATATACCCTCCTCCTAGCGTTTAGCTTGTAAGACAATATGGCTACAACTGACAGACTCGGCTTCTGGTGATGGTGTGAGGTCTGAGGGGTTCATTTTGTACGAGGGGCCGAATCCAGCCAAATGCATGCCGGGCAAGCATTCTAGCATTTAGCTAAATCCCACACCATCACATAAACTTCTGCCCTGGTTCAGCAGTCCCTCCCAGCTACATAAAATCGTGGTGTGAGTGAGTGCTCACTACACGGAAACCTACCACAGTGAGACCTTCAGCAGCACTGAGAAGCAGAAGTTACTATGCTGTGGGGATGGCCAGGACTTGGTTCTTTCCAAAGTCTTAAGAGGGGGATTTTAGAAACAAGTCATAAATCCTAGCAAAATATCACTCATACCAACATTTTTTCAAAAATTCACTTAAGTACTAACAGTAATTCTCAGAACCTGAAATCAAGCACTGGTCAGGAAAGAGCTTCAAGGGGCTTCCAAGAGAAAAGGGCAGATGGCCCCAAATACATGCAATTACTATACAATGAAAAGTGTTGCCTTCAATGGAAGAGGATCACAAACAAGAAGAGGGACTTGGAGGTGCTGCTCAAAGAGCACCTGCCTAGAACTTACAGGAACCAGACCCTGGCTCCATTCCAGAACCACATTAAAAGAGAGAGACTTTGCAGTTTTCTGAAAACAATCTTTTCTGGCCCCTCTTGGTCTAAAAAGCCTGGATGGGACACATTCCTCCGTTCCTCCCTTTCTGTTCCCTTCCCTGACATTGAGGGCATCATTTTACCTCAAATCAAAAAGCCTCAGTTTCCTCTATTCTGAAAAGGCCAGCTTGAAATACTGCATGCTATGTGCAGTATGAGATCTCAGAAACCAAGATGACTCCACAGGGCCACCTCAAAGAGGACAGGACAGACTATTGGCCACTAAAACCAATGAGTACAGAGACACAGCTTAACCCTACAGCACGAAAAGCTGGCCCCATTGTCCTGACGTTCAAAGTAAATAAGACCAGTCCTGCACCTGAATGCCCACCCACCGCGATCAGATTCCAGGTTTTGTTTTTGTTTTTTATAACCCCTTAAAACCTAACAAAAAACAACAGGGAGAAAAACATCCAGATGGCTTTACCTAGTTCGTTGTTGTTTTTCTAACCCTTCAGGAAGAAGGGAAATTAGCATTAAAGGGATAAAACCTAATAATTCCTTCCAAGTAGGAGCCGCCTATGGCTTGAATATCGTGAATTTAACTGGCAAGATTACAAAACAGGTTCCAGCAAGATGAGTTGCAAAGAAGGGAGCGAAGGCTCGTGCCCAGTTAAGGTTGGGTAGGATCCGGTCGGTAAACCCATGAAACAGGACTGAGCCTTCCCTGCGCCCAGGCTTGTGTCCAGGAGTTTGCAAATCGGATATCCAGGCGTTCTCGTGAATACGGAGCCCCACGTTCTAGACTTGGAGATGCCAAACGCGGCCACCCTGCCCGAACTGAGGAGTTGTGCTCGGAGTATAGAAACAGAGATCTCGTCCAACCCCACGTTTTTCCTGGATTTATCCCACAGGCAGTGCAGTGGCAGGAGAGCTGCGGAGCTCAGAGCCACACTACTCGAGGCTTCGACCGGAGGTGACACGTCCTGAGAACTGATGGAATTCTCAGCTCCAGATCCGCTCGCCCCGCCACCCCGGAATCCCGGAGGCTGGACACCGAGGTCGCCGGGGTTGCCTCTCGGGCTTTCCCGAGTCCCTTCCCGCCCACGGGGTTTCCTGAACCCGAGCTCCGCTCCCGTCCGCGGTTCTGATAACCCGTGAGGCAGCCCGCCTCGCTCACCTGGCCAGCACAGCACCGGGCAGACATCGCCGCGGCCGACGACCTCGAGGACGCTGCCCGCTGGGCCGTCACTCAGGCCCTCTCGGCTTGGTCCGCGAGCGCGCGTCTGAAGAAGCTGGTCTAGCTTCCTATCCCCGAGCCCAGCAGCCCAGCTGAGAGCCGCGTTCCGTGGCCTGAAAACAACCGCCGCCAAGCCCCGCCCCACATCACAGGCCCCGCCCTGAGACCGCCCCGACTGTAGGTTCCGCCCATATCTTGGGCTCCGCCCCTGGGACAGCCCCGCCACGGCCTGTAGTCCCGCCCCTTCCCGGGCAGCACAGTGGGCTTCTTCCTCTCTGGCACTTCCGCCGGGGTTAAACACGGGGAGTGCCATTTTTTACAAGCCCTGGGGTTTTACCCACCCGCTGGGTTTCGCGGCGCACCTCCGCCTCGGCTCCGGTAAACTCGATCCGCTTGCCGTCGATAGTAAAAACTAGAGCCCTAGAGAAAGACTCCCTCTCGACTGTCCTGCGCTGGTCCCTCGAGGGCGCCACTGGTACCGGACTGCGATCGCCTTACTCTGAGACATGTACCAGATCCACGTTCGGGAAACCCCTCTTTCCCCCCACCCCCTCAGGTGCCAGGTCTCCCCAGGCGCCTGGCTGTTCCACCTGCTGTTCCCGTGGAACTCTGGGGCCCCTGGTTAGTCGATCTTGGAACCAGGAACTAGGTTGGGGTCCTTGTTTCCTCTCAACTGACCCACGTTGAAAGTATTCCAACAATTGCTTGTTGGATGCCAAGGGAGCGCAGAGTTTTGCTCTCTACCTGAATCTCTTCTCACGGTTACTTCAAAATAAAACCATTTCTGTTAGTATGAATTTTACACCAGTCCCTTCTTTTACTGAGAGAGTAATTCAGATAAACATTGCTGTACCGGTGTGAGGAAAGTGATCGCGCAAGCCTAAGCAGCTTAAATAGCTTGGCCTAAAGCCTCAGGAAGTGAAAAGGCCAAGCTGGCAATCCTAGTGTCTGATCCTCGGGCACACAACCTGGGGCTTGACCTTCGATGGACCGAGCCTTTGCCTATAGTGTCTTGGGAACTTCAGGAGGTAGAAACTAAAGAAAACGGGTTGTTTGTTTGTTTTTTATAAATACGTACTTTAGTTATTACCAGCGTTGAATCTTCCAGCATCTTAGATCCAGGAGTTTAAAGTAACACACACAACGGAGCAGTCCCCTCCCTACTTGAGAGTTAAGAAAAGTTATGAAGACAGTGGTTGTAACTAAAAATAAAAGGGTGTGGGAGGAGCAACTTACTGGGTGGCAGCCTGTTACTCAGAGCCAGGACCTCCGTGGGCCTTCACAGTGAATTTCATTGTTTGCTGCAGGGCGGTCACTAGACTTAGAACTTCAGCCCCTGGGGAAACCGGTCTGACACCAAGAGTCTTTGTGGAAACCGCCCAAGAGGTGGGGGAGGGGTGCAAATTGTACAAACCTTTGAGCTGGAACTTACCTACTCCTTTAGGAGGCTCCTCACCCAGTGTCACTGGGTTAGGATCAAAGACCTAATGGAGCCCTGATTTGGTTTTGTTTGCCAAACCTGTGCTAGTGCTTGGGCATTCTTAGTATGGGTGTCAGTATCCTAGAGAGAGAAAGCATGCCTCTTAATGACCTGGAGATAGGGCCTGGAACTCCATGGCAGAGAACTTCCCAGCATGCACGAGTTCCTTCCTCAACATGCCAAAAATAATAGCTTGTGGACATGTCAAATGTACACTAAGGTACCCAAAAATGTTAACAAAAGCCTGAGCTTCCAAAGTCAGGAAGTTGCAAATTGTAACTTCACTAAGAACAGCCTGGAAAAGATGGCCTCTTTGAAGCTCTGACTTAACCATCACTTGTACTAGTAGTGAGTGTGTTTAAATGAAATGAAAAGCATAATCTGTGATTTTTGTCTTCTGGCCTCAGCCCCTTGACGAGCTGTGTGGTCTGTGATGCAAACACCATGTCATGTACGGGCAGGCAGCTTTACCGTGTATGCACTGGGACATAGTTCAATAGTAGGATGCTTGCTGGTGTGTAGCTCAATAGTAGCATGCTTGCCTGCTGTGAACTGAAGTTTTCTGAAGAAGCTATGTGGTACCCCTTTCTTAGCACACTAGTGTTGAAGTCTGGCAGACTAGATGGGCCTTCATGATTTTGGAAAGATGGAATGTTGTAGATCAAAATATCAAAGTTATCTTGTGCTGTCTTTGGTCCTCTTACTAATCATTTTCTGCCCACCTCCTATATCTGACTATTAGGTCAAGCCTTGGGAATGTACTGCTTGTCAGACTAGCTTCTAACCCTAAGGATAAGTGTTAGAAACATGTGAAGCCTGTAGCTACTTCCCCACTACTACCATATACTTAGATAACATCCCCACCAAAGTGGTTGGTAAATACATTGTTCCTTTTGTTCTGAGACTATAAACGTTCATGTACCCTCATCTACAGTACAATGTCATTCAGGCCAACCTGAAACTGTTCCCAGGACATGGCTATTCATATTTGGCCCAGAATAAACTGTCTCGTATTCCCTTGAGAGTTAGAGCCATTTCACACCAGCATTAACAGGCACTGAGTCCCAAGTTCCATTCCCAGAAATAGAAAAAGAAACCCCAGCAACAGAGAAGAACCGTGTAATGGTTTGGAGTGCAAGTTTGACACAACGTAAGAGCCTATAGCGTCTGAGAGTGATACAGACAGCACTTGCCTAGCATACAGGAATCCCAGGGTCCAGCAATACCAAAGCCAGCCTTGTGACTGCTGAAGTTATTAAGGCCTTCATGAAGCTCAAGGAGATCAAACCCCAGCCTCTGCTGCAAATTCAGGGGACCTGCTTCTGTCATCTATGCCAAGCCCAGGAAGAATGCATGCTGCTATATGGCCAGGATTAGCTCAGACAGCCCAAGTTCAAGGCCAATTCTCTAGCCAAGGTGGGCAGCAACTTTGGTTCCACATCCAGCTTAATTCTGCCTTTAGCTCAAACTCCCCACATTCCCCAGATGCTACAGTCTCCTTACTATAGACCTCCATGCTGAGGGACTGGTCTGATCCGTGGACCACCTCTGGCTTTTTGTTTGATGCTTACACAAAGGAACTCTACAGGAGATTGTCAGCGAGAAAGAAGGAAATCTGTGTGCACTCGTTTTCAATCTTTGATCAAAGATCTCAAATAACTGTGGCCAGATCTGGAGGTATCCTCTCCTCCCGACTCTGAGGACTTGTCTTGTTAGAAGCATCCTTTATATTTATGGTTCACTAACAAGAGTAGAGGTACTGCTAGGAAACCAACAGAAACAGTAGCACCTTCTTTTTAATTTATTTTTTTTTACTAGTCTGCATACTTTTTGAAGCGAGACATGGTGTTCCTAACTTGAAGGTCGTAGAACAGTCAGGGTCCTTTTGATGTGGCTCTTTCAGGAACAAGCAATAACAAATCTATTTTAGTAAGATTGTAGTTTTTGGCAGACCAGGTAAAATAGTCTCCCCACAAAAATTTTCTTAAATTAACTAAACTAGCTTTCATTTCTACAATATAATTATATATAAATGTACATATAAAACTATAAATAAGTAACCTGTAATTTGTTTTTCTTTTCTCTCTTGAACTTGAAGCTCTTTTTTGATAGAGGTAAATATTTTAAAATACCACATACTGAAATGAAAGCAGTGAGTGTGTGTGTGTGTGTTAGTATTAAAAACAAAATGTAGACTTTTTTTTCTTTTGGAGTCAGGGCCTCACTAGGTAGACTACGCTGGCCTCAAACTCACACAAATCCACAGTGATCTCAGTACTAGGATTAAAGGTGTGTACCACCATGCCAAGCAATAACCCTCTTAAGAAACTTTTTACTAAATTTAGAAATTTTCATTACAAATTTTGTTTCCAATTCAAGAATTGATTAAAAGCAGATAAAAGCACAGCTCACTAAAATCTTAACAACTTAGAGGTAGGAAACCAATGAAGCCTTCTATTCTGTCCAGTTTTGCTGTTGTGGATTGCTGGGCGCCAAGACTCCCTTCTGCCTAGGAGCAAATGTCAGTTAAGTAAACAGCCTGAGTTAAGGAATACTTTATTGCCCTCCTGCCAGGGAAAAATTATTAATCAGATAAGCAACTGGAACTGAGAAATGTTTTAATTGACTTCTTACTTGTGAGAGAATATTTAGATAAGTAATTTGGGCTAGGAATTCTTGTGGGCTTAGAGAACTTTGCAATTACAGGATGACCCTGGACCCTGACTGCTAGGTGACCCTCCTCCCTGCCTGCCTTTATAACAGAAACCTGACAATAAAGTTTAAGCACTTGGTCAGACATTCAGACTTGTGCTTCTTCCTCCTGTCTCTTGTTCCATCTTTCGCCTTCCCCTTCCCTAGGGTCTCGTCGAATCGATGTTGGGGATTGAACTCTGGGCCTGGTTTGCATTAAGTGAGAAATCTACCACTGAGCTAAGCTATACACCCCATCCCCTCTGCTGAACTTTAAATATTACAAACAATTTTGTTCTATGATCGCTGATCTTCCTGTATAAAGTCTCTTAGGACCTGTGTTGGTTGTTTCTTATCAGGAGCCAACCCAGGAAACTACCTGCTGTCCTAAGAGAACCTAGGAAGTTACCTGCTGTTCTAAGAGAACCTAGGAAGTTACCTGCTGTTCTAGAAAGCCTAGTCAGTGCAAGGTTAAGAAAGGACATTCACAGGTCTCAGGCCCCAGGAACTTAAAGAACGTCTGGCATTTCCTGGGAGCCGGTTAGGACAATGGGATGGTCTAGGGCAATAAGGATATGACAGTGGACTGGTCTTAGACAATGAAGACTCAATAGTGGGATACCCCTAAGCAATGACCCTCGCCCAAACTTCCCGTTCTGCTGTGTCCTTATAACCTGCCCCCAAAATTAAAGTTTCAGAGCTTGATCAGAACCCCAGACTTGCTCTACATCTTTGTGTCTCTTGTCCCTTCATTCTTTCGCCCCCTTCCCTAGGATCTCATCGAATCCCCGTGTTTGCCAACTTGGCATAAACCTAGACATATCTGGGATGAGGGACTCTTAACCAAGAATGATGTCCCATCAGCTTGACCTG